AAAAAAAAAAACATAATGAAAGGCTTACTCTAATAGCAATGTGCATTTCTAACTGGAGAGGACGAGACTGGATGCCTTGATATACTAGTTAGATGGTTTAAAAGTTGTCCAGAAGAGAGATGATTGGATGGTTGTAGCTTGGAGGCATGGGCATGGAGTGAAACAGAAGAGACATGTATAGAAGAGAAAATAGACAGGATTTGGGAATGCTTGGGAATCCTAAGCGGTACAGATGTTTAACATGCTGAGCTGCTAATTAAAAGGTTGGAGGTTTGAATCTATCCAGAGATACGTCAGAAGAAAGACCTGGCAGTTTGCTTCCAGAAAATGAGCCATTAAAAGTGCTATGGAGCACAGCTCTACTTTGACACACATGAGGTTGCCATGCATCAGAGTCGACTCCACAGCATCTGGTTTTGGGGAACAATGTCAGGACATGAATCTGGTGTCTGACTGTGCAACATGAGTGATGGAGGTACCAAGCCATGAGGAATGGAGCCATTGCCAAGGAGCTCAGGATCTCTCTGCCTCTGCAGAATAGTGCTGGATGCAGTCCCCAGAGGAACCAAGCTGGCCTATATCAGACATGGCTGTGCTAGGACACTACCTGACAGGCTGATTGAACTATGACAAACCCCTCCCAAGTGCTCATTTTGCACAGCCAGCAGCCAAGGGAGCACAGTGTCTCCAGTTGTACCCTGACATCTGCACCCAGCTGTTCCTCCCCTCAGAAAGTCTCTATCCTGGTCCCTGGCAGCTACTGCGGTGGCAGCTGTCCTGAGCTGCCCTGTGGGGAAGAGATGGAACCGAAGAACAGAGCTTTTCGGTCACAAGATCTTGCTGCTCTTCTCATCTTTGAGCCTTAGTTTTTGCCGCTCAGTTTTCTGAAGACCAAGAAGCCCAGTTTGGTGACTCACCCCTGCCCTTTCTGCAGGCTTGCCTTTTGGATATTTTTAAGCTTGTTAGTGACCTTCTTGGAAAAGAGAACAAGATCAAGGGCAGCAAGCACTGGAGCTTCTACCTGTGAGACTGGCTTCTCTTCTAAACCCCATCAGCTTGTGGATCTGTGGGTAGCACAGTCCCTTCTTAATTTTTTTTTTTTTTTTTAGCCACAAAAATGCATATTCATTATAAGAAATTTGGCTAGCAAAGAAATTTATCTTTCATCTATCTTTCAATCAATCTATCTATATCTATTTATCTTCTATCTATCATTAATGCTAATCTCATTACTAATATGTATTGAGCCTTTATTGTATACTAGTCCCTGTTCTGGAAGCTTGCGATGTATTAGTTACCCAAAAAGACAAGGAACCCTGCTCTACTTCCCTGCTAGTAGGGGACAGGGAGATGGCAAATAAACAGTTCACTTAATAAATAAGTAGATTTTGTAGTATGTTGGAAGGAGTAAGGAATATAGAGATGAAAGAAGTAGACAAGAATAAAAGGAGCTGGGAATGGCAAGTGTCAGGGTAAGGAGTGGCTGTAATTTTAAATAAAGTAGTCAAGGAAGGCTTTATTGAGAAGGTGACACAAACACAAAACCAAACTCACTGCCATCAAGTCAATTCTGACCCCCATTGTGTTTCCAAGGCGGTGATTCCTTACGGCAGTGGATTGCCTCATCTTCCACTGAGCGGCTGGTGAGTTTGAACTGCTAGTCTTCTGGTTAGCAGTCAAATGTCTTAGGCACTGCACCAAGGAGAGACTCTGTTAATTGTGCCACCCATAGGCAACCAAGGGGAAAAAATTTGGTACCTTTTTTTTTAAAAAGAAAACATTATTTTTATTTGCACAGGTAACACACATACATCCTTTTGTTAAAAACTGAATGTTTACCTGGACCACTCCCCTACTCACACTTTATCCTAGGTGCTTTATCAGTTTTCCATTTGGTCTAATCTTTCTTGACATTCTTCTGTTTATTTAAGCGTGTGATGTTGTGGTGACTTATATGTAAAATATCCTACCTCACAGTCTACACTTCGGCTTGCTTTTTTCACCAAAAATCACCTCTCCACATCAGCACATATCAATCTACCTTCTTCTTTTTAAATGCTGCATCATAGTTCCCTGTATCATTTTAGTTATTTCTCTATTGATAGAAATTTTGAATATAGTTTCCTTTGCTGCCACAAGCAGTGCTATAAAGACCATCCTTGATTGGTTTATTCTTATCCACATATGCAAGTAGTTCTCCAACATAAGTAATGTTGTTGTTGTTGTTGTTATGTGCCGTCGAGTCGGCCCCGACTCATAGCGACCCCTTCTTGGGTTTCCGAGGCAGTATCACTACGGAAGTAGGATTGCCCAACCTTCCTTCCGAGGAGTGGCTGGTGGATTTGAACCGCCAGCCGTCTGGTTAGCAGGCAAGTGTCTTAGCCACTATGCTACCAGAGCTCCCAACATAAGTAATAGGAAATGGAATTATTCAAAGAGTGATCATTTCTAATTTAAACAGATACTGCCAAGTTGCCACACACACTCACCCACTTTTGTTTTTTAATGGGACCCCATAGGAGTTACTGGATAGTGGAAATGATTAAAAGCTTGTATGCTAACCAAAAGTTGGAAGATGTAAGTCCACCCAGAGGTACCTCAGAAGAAAGGCCTGGTGATATATTTCCAAAAAATCAACCATTTAAAACCCTATGGAGAATTGTATGGTAGATATATTTACAACAACAACAACAAAAAGAATAGCTGCTGAGGCTGCTTATGTACAACCAAATACCTCATAAGATTTTATTCCTTGGTTTGGAGGTTTCGGGTCATGGTTTCAGGGGACATCTCATTTAATTGGCCTAATAATGTGTTTAGTGCTTGTGTTCTACCTCCTAGTTCATTGGATAGTGCTTGGGGTCTCTGGTGGCATAGTGCATAAGGCATCTGGCTGCTAACCAGAAAGTCAGCAGTTCAAACTCACCAGCAGCTTTGCGGAAGCAAGATGGGGCAATCTACTATGTAAAGATTTATAGCCTGAGAGACGTAGTAGGAGTCATTGTGAGTCAGAATCCACTCAATGGGAGTGAGTTTGGTTTTTTGTGAGAGCAGTCATCCAAGGCACAACAATTGGTTTCATTACCCTGGAGCAACAGAGGAAGGAGGATACGGAATATTTGACTGATTGCCTTCATGACCCAGTGCCTGTTTTGCAATGAGACCAGAAAAACTGGATGGTGCCCAGCTACCATTACTGAACATTTTCATCAGATATTTATGGAAGAATCTCTGATCCAGAGGAGGGAAATTTGTAACAGAATTTCAAATCCTTGTAGACTTTCTGGAGCCATGGGAATAGATAAACCCCTGAAACTACTGCCCTGAGATCATCTTTAAAAGTTGTACCAAAAATGTACCCTGAAATCTTCTTTAAACCAAACAGTAGTTTAGCTTAACTAGTTAAAAACATCTGCTTTGAGCATTATGCTCTTTGAAAAACTACCTATATGGGACCAAAGTGAAAATAGCGACTTGAAAGATTAGATAGCAAGCTCAGAGGGCAATGAGTTTATGTTAATGGAGGAGGAACAACTCTGAAAATGAGGGTGAGGATGGTTGCACAATTTGAAGAATGCAATCAGTGTCACTGAATTGTATGTGGAGAAATAGTTGAATTGGTGTATGTTTTACTGTGTATATTCTCAACAACAACTAAATAAAATAAAATAAAAACAATTATGGAGCACAGTTCTACTCTGACCCACACGGAGTTGCCGGAAGTCAGAATTTACTCCAGGACAACTGGTAATAATGGCATATAATCCGTTTAACCTTAATATATTGAGAACATTTTCTTTGAAACAGGCCTCTCTGGCCTTTGATTGAGGCTTATTGCTTTCTTTCTAGGATTTCTCCAGGCCTCGACCACCCCAGAAAGCACTGCCAGCTAACCCAGTGCCAGGCCGCAAGACCCTCCCAAGGCAAGGCGGCACATCTGCACTGCTGCCCTCTGCTGCTGGCCCTCAGCAGGCTCGGCCGCTGGCAGTGCCTGCCCCAAAGGTGAGTGCAGAGAAGCCTTCAAGCTTAAAGCCAACCGGTACCACAGGGTAGGGGCAGAGGGGGGTGGAGTGTATATTTGAGAAAACAAACTAGTTAATGATTCCTGTGTGGGGTGAACAACCAGCACAAAAGCCAAGGACAGAAGTTTAGCATTCCCTTAAATTAATAGAGTTTTCTGGTTTCATATGAAATCTGTTGTTTTGGGGCCTGAGCTGTGGTGACAGACATATGGGGCTTTAAACCCCATCTGCACCTGACCAGCTGATTGGTGGTAAGCCATTCTCTGCAGTCTCAATTTCCTTAACTGTAAAACAACAATAACCAGCCTCCTAAGGTTGCTTTGAAGGTGAAGTCAGTTAATTTATATATCTCCCTGACATAGTGGTCACTTACTTCTTTTTTGTGGCTGACTTATCCTCAAGTTGCCAGTCCTGGGAGGTGGGTCAGAAAGAGTTATGGTGAGGAAGCTGGCTGACTGACAAACCTGTACTCCCATAAGCCTCTAGGAAATCTGTGGGCTGAGCTATCACTCGAGTGGGGAAGGAAGGAGGGAGGAGGAAGTCTTCAGTTTGTGATGGGGGCACCTACCAACATGCCTCTCAATGAAGGATTAACACAAGCATTGTCCATCTTTCTTCATAGTTAACATATCTGTCTGCCTTCCAACTTGTCAAAAAGCAAGAGCACAGCTTTTCCTCAGTCCCAGGTGCATTAGCTGATATTTCTCTCCCTCCCTTTTCTTCTTTCTACAGTTTCCTGAATACAGATCGCAGAGAGCTGGGGGAATGACTAGCTCAAAAATCTAGACCTGGTTAGGGGGTTTCTCCCTTTCCTTGAGGACTCTGGATGCCCCAGAGGGTCCAGTGGCCATGGAATCTGGAAGAAGCATGTCTGGCCACCCCTGAGCTCCTCCTCCCAGAACTACCACATCTCCAAAAATCTCCTTCTGGTCTCAGTGCCTCCTCAGCTTCCTCAAAGGCCCAGAGGGACAACTATCAATGGAATCAGTGTTGTTTTGTGCAATATACAGTCTAGGGTAGGGAGGGGGAGTGCATCTCCCTCTAGCTTCCCTTCAGTGACCCCTCAGCCCAGAGAGCAATGGAGATGGCTGTCTGAGCTGGTGAGCCCAGCTGGGAAAAGCCCTCTTTAGCCCTTCGGCCAGGATGTGGCTTGGAGAAGCCGTGTCCGTGGGGGAGGGCACACATGAGCACGTTCCATTGCCTCTGTTTTCCTGAAGGTCTCAGGCTGGATGGAAGCTGCCCATCCCTTTTAGCACTGGCACTTGAGGGGTCACATCAGCCACTGCTAGGACTCTGCCCAGGTCTTGGTTGAGTGATCTGAGGTGATGGGTTCTGGCCCCGTGGCTGCATGTGAATAAGTCATGTCCCCCACACTCCTTACCCTCTGCCTCCCCTCTTATCCAGATGGGTCATTCTGACTCAGACAGGTACTATTTGTAGGCAATGCAGACAGCAGGGGGAGCACCAGGCTTGGGCCTCCTCTGAGCCGTAATGCCAGAGGTTGTGACTGTAATTCTTGGTTGCTCTATGTTTTCACTTTTGCACTTCCCAAGTGCCCCATGCTTTTGATTTCTCCTTGGCCCATCTGACCCATTCTGATGTGTGGTGCTTTGGTGAGTGGATCCTCAGCCACCCTTACTTTCCGGTGACCTGGTGCTTGTGACTTAAATCAGGAATCTGCCTCAAGGATTGGCTGCTTGGACATCCTGCTTGGATCCCAAGCTTGTTGACTAGAGTAGACTTGGGGCATGACCTAGGGGTTATAGCTTTATTTTTCATTGTGTCTTATGACTTCAGCAGGATCAGGGTCTTTCTACTCCCTGGCCTAATGATAGGCAGGGCCTACCAAGGAGTACAGCAGGTGTTATGAATGGAGCAGACATCCTAAGAACCCTAGTTATAAGAAGTATCTCTAGTGGTTTGGCCACTGGCTTGTGGAGGGACCAATGCTCTCTGAGCAGAGAGCAGACCTACCTCTAGCCATGGTATTGGGCGGTGGAATCCTGAGGAAAGGCAGCTGTCAACATGGCTGACTTTTAGAGCAGAGGTTCAGCTGGGGCTATCTGCCCTCCAACCCCCCAGGCATTTTAACTTCCATTTCCTTCTGCTCTTTCCTGTTCACTGTTTATTGACCTTCACAGGTCTGAGCAGCTGGGGAATGTACTCCAGTGGATCCCACTCTCCCTCGGGCAAGGAAGGGGGGTTGTGCAGTTGTAGGTGCTCTGCTAGGTAGAACAATTTCCACAAAATAACTGAAGACATTCTCTGGGTGACTGTCTCCCACCCTCAGACAGGTCCTGGGTGACCCTCAGACAGGTGCTGGGTAACACCACCAGAGGGGAACTGGCCTTTCACTCCTTCTGAGGGTTTCCAGGGGTCTCCTCACCTCCTGCAAGAAGATGTTTTGTTCTTGGGAACTTCATTTCAGAGAAGAGATGGAGCTTTTGGCTTCTCAGCCCCCACCCCAGGGCCTCCTTACAGTTCTCTGCACACCACAGGTGCTTAATACATGTTCTTGAATTCATAGACAAGTGGGAGATAGATATGGGATCGCAGGACAGTGAGTTTCTCTGGTGACAATGAGTTTTTCCCCTCTCTCCCTGACATGGGCTGCCCTTGTTCCCCATTCCTAACGTCCACTTCCTTGCTGCCTGATCTGAAGTCAGGGGACAACCTTCCATTTGATCGGTTACCCCAAATGCCAGATGCCTCAAGACTAGGTCCCAGAGGAGTAAGGGTAAAAACACCCACCATTCCCCAAGAAAATAACCCTTAACCCCACCCCCTAGATGTTTCAGTGATCTGTGTGGCTTTCTCCCTCACCTCAGGAGCTGGCAGCTGTGTGGTGAATATGGATGGACACAGCCATGTGGCTGCAGGGTCTTTTGAACTCTCCCTGGAACCACATAGAAAAAAAAGAGCAGGGTTGTCTTTCTGTTGTTGTTTTTACACCCCTCCATCCATAAAATGGTACCATGAACTGGAAGATGATCAGATTTTTTGAATTTGGTAAGAACTTTTGGCAGCCTGGTCTATATCCTGTTTCACACCTGGCTGCGTTCAGAGAGTGGGAAATCAACATACCGGCAATACCAAGGAGGAGGAAGACTCGCCATTATAACATTTTAACAGAATCTTCCTTTTGCCCACCATGCTGTGTTGAGGTATCAGATAAAATGTGCAGATTTGGTTAAGGCGGGACCTTATCCAAAAGGATTATGGCATGGAGAGGAAAGAGAATATTGCAATAGGGGAAGGAGGACTATTGCAATAGGGGGACAATTCAAACCATAAGATCTGCCAGCTTCTCAAAGCTTGTGCAGGAAAGGAGTTTTTCTTTTGTAGGCAGGTCAACAAGACTGGGAATAACTGGGTACAGGGAATGTGTTTCTTGTGCTCAGTGTTTTTTGGGAGGGGTTGTTGAAGAGGGTTTGTTAAAAAATCAGCCAATGAAAACCCTATGGAACCAGTGCTACTCTGAGGCACGTGGGGTCACCATAAGTCAGAATTGACTCCATGGCAACTGTATTTTTATTTTGTTATTATGGGGTTTTGTTTTTTGTTTACTGGCTCAGGCTGAGGTTGAGTCCAAAGGCAGGGTCCTGTGGGGAGGAGGGAAGCTTAACTGAAGTTAAGTCAGTTAACAAGAACTTTGTTCTGATGGCAGTTTAAATCTTTTTAAAAGCTAAATTAGACTCTGACCAGTTTTACAACCCAGTATTGTTTTTCCAAAGCGCCTTGGAGCCATGTCTTTGAAATGTAAACTGTTGTAAGGGTGATGACATTCTTATTGCCCTGTTCTTACAGTCTTCCACTAGGCTCCTGGTTCTAAGTTGCAGCTACCTGCTTGTCTTACTTTTTTTTTTTTTTTTTTTTTTTTTTTTTTTTTCTCTATGAAAGAAAAGGAACCCTGGTAGTGAAACAGTTAAGCACTCAGCTGTTAGCCAAAGGGCAAACTCACCCAGGGGCTGCGAGAGATAGACCTGGCAATCTGTTCCTATAAAGATTAAGCCTAGAAAACCTTATGAGGCTGATCTACTCTGTCACAAGGGATCTGTTTGAGTCAAAATATCAACTCAGCAACTCTCAACAACAACATAAAGGAAAAGCAACAACATAAAAGCTCTTTTCTGCCCAAGCTATGAGATACAGATTTATGGTTAGAATATTCTCTCGATTTAAATCGTCCCTTTCCCCCTATTGCAATAGCTCCTTTTCCTCTCTTGCAATAATCCTTTTGAATAAAGTCTCCTTACCTATGTCTAAGGAGCTCCGGTGGTGCAGTGCCTAAAGCATTTGACTGCTAACCAGAAGGTTGACGGTTCAAACCCACCAGCTGCTCCAGGGAAGGAAGAGGGGCAACCTAATTTCGTGCCTCGGAAACCTAATGGAAGTTGCTATGAGTTGGAATTGACTCAATGGCAGTGGATTTGGTTTACCTATGTCTGCATTTGTTTTACCTTGATGTAGGATGTGCACAACTTGCATTTTTAAATTGGAGAGCAGTTCTAAAGTTAGTGATTGTGTATGTGTGTATACACATGGGTGTGCTGCTGAGCACCCAAGAAAGCTGAGTGTGTACCAACTGGAAAGGTGACCCCGTCCCTAAGGAGAGATTTTGTAGAATTTAAGCCACCACCTCCGGAAGTAACCCCTCTGGCCACCCTCCCACACCACCCACTGTGTTTATGTCTGTGTCTGGGATCCAGGGCAATGTGAATTTCGTTTTTATCTGAGATTGTTCACGGAAACTAGATCCTCTTCTCTCTTGTCCACCTATTAATTGTTTACAATGATATTTGTACATCTATGCAAAATACTTGAATGGGCCATTGTGCCTTTTTTCCTAGTTTGTATTTAATTAAAATAAATTGTCATTTGAAATGTTACCTGGTTTGGCAACTCTTTTTTTTCTTCTTTTTCTTCCTTATGTCCCACTACTGAGGAATGGCACAGGACAGGGCAGTGTTTCATTCTGTTCTACATAGGGTCGCTATGAGTCAGAATCGTCTGGACAGCACCTAACAACAGCAACAACAGCTGAGACTGGATAGGCTCCATTATATGTAGACTCTTTCTCAAAAGGAGAGTTCCCACAGAGACCATCAGTGCAGACTTGTTGTTGTTGTTTGCTGTTGAGTTGGACCCGACTCACAGCGACCCTCCTTGGGTTTCTGAGGCAGTATCACTGCGGAAGTAGATTGCCCAACCTTCCTTCCAAGGAGTGGCTGATGGGTTTGAACTGACAGCCTTCTAGATAGCAGTCAAGTGCCTTAGGCACTATGCTACCAGAGCTCTATAAGGCCATTACGATAAATCTTTAGCCATAGATGGCGTTCCTGGGTGATGCAAATGGTTACCATGCTTAGCTGCTAACTGAAAGGCTAGGGATTCAGGTCCACCAAGAGACCCTTCAGAAGAAAGGCCTGGTGCTCTGCTTTCAAAAACTCAGCTGTTAAAAGCCCTCAGGAGCACAGTTCTACTCTGACACACATGGGGTAGCAATGAGTCAGAATCCACTCAACAGCAACTGATATTGGTTAGCCACAGGAAAGAGCCCCAAAACCAAACCCAGTGCTGTTGAGTTTATTCCCACTCATAACCAAAAAAAAGAAAAAAAAAAAACCAAACTCACTGCCTTCAAGTTGAATGCGACTCATGGCAACCCCTCCTTGGGTTTCTGAGGAGGTATCTCTATGGAAGTAGATTGCCTAATCTTCCTTCTGAGGAGTGGCTGGTGGGTGTGAACCACGTGCCTTCTGGTTAGCAGTCAAACGCCTTAGGCACTACACCACCAGAGCTCCCAGTCCCACTCTTAGAATAGAGAAGAACTGCCTTATAGATTTTCCAAGGCTGTAATCTTTACAGAAGCAAACTACCACATCTTTCTCCCACGGAGTGGCTGGTGGATTTAAAGCATCAGTCTTTCAGTTAGCAGCCAAACACTTAACCATTACACCACCAGGACTCTTTCCAGCCATAGAAAAGCCCTGTGTTTTCCCATGACAGTAGAGGGGGCTGGTTTTCTTTGCACCTGTACACAGGCTGGTCTAGTATAATTAGGTCTTGGATCATTAGAGGCAGAATCACTCTGGGACTTACTGATGAGTTTTTCTTACCCTACACAATTGGGTTTAGAAGAGATCTGAGATGCTCTGTTCACCTCCTCATATTGTTGGGGATCATGTAACGCAAAGGTTGAGAATTGCCCACCGTCTCTGGGGCCGGTTGGGCAGACCAGGGACCAGTGTGCTTTCTGATAAGAAAGCCTTTGGTAATAACACAGCTTTCATTCATTTAGTGCTTCCCAACCCACCTTTTGTTACCTCCTTTGATCCTTACCTCAATTCAGAGGTTTAATAAAAGAGATGGAATAACAGTATCTACCATAAGAGGTAAACTTTACTGAGCACTTAACCCATGGTAGGCACTTTGCTACCTTCTTTACATTGGTTATCTCATGTATTCCTCACAAAAACCCTGGGAAGCAAGTCTTTGATATCTATCATGGTTATGAGGTTGCCTGGAGGTTCAAACCCACCAGCCACTCCTTGGAAGGAAGGTTGGGCAATCTACTTCTGTAGTGATACTGCCTCGGAAGCCCAAGGAGGAGTCGCTATGAGTCAGGTCCAACTTGACAGCACATAACAACAACAATAAGGATAACAAAAGGAGCTCTGGTGGTGTAGTGGCTAAGGCATTTGACTACTAACCAGAGGGTTAGAGGTTCAAACCCACCAACTGCTCCTTGGAAGGAAGATGGGGCAATCTACTTCTGTAAAGATTTACTGCCTTGGAAACCCAATGGGGGTTGCTGAGTCAGAACTGACTCGATGTCAGTGAGCTTCATTTGGAAGGATGCCAAAAGCATCAAAACACAAATGTGTTGGCTACTGAAATGATTGCTTATGAAATTAGTCCTCACTCAAACATCCCATCTGCTTAATGCCCTCATCTACTCCAGCCATTGTGTCCACACTATTGGCAAGTCTCTGGGCTGATAGCCATACATTGGTCAGCAGCATGATACACAGAGCCTGCTTGGACAGACCAGGGTTCAAATCGCAACTCTGCTTCTTACTAGATATGTGAACCTAGGCAAGTTCAGAACTCAGAGTCTGTTGTCTCTGTATAATTGGGGTGATAACCACTTCAAGTGTTGTGATAATCCATGAAGCACTAAGCACCTAACACTGCCTTGCACAGGTTGCATGCTCAGAAACTTGACTAAATTAGGTTTTGTGTTGTTGTGCTTAATATGCCAAGGTTCCATTAAGATCTGCTTTATACTGATCACAAAGGAGCTCTGGTGGTGCAGTGCCTAAGGCATTTGACTGCTAACCAGAAGGCTGGCAGTTCAAACACACCAGCCACTCTGCAGAAGGAAGACTGGGCAATCTACTTTATAAAGGTTTACCACCTTGGAAACCCAAAGTGTGTCACTATGAGTCGAAATAGACTCAATGGCAGTGAGTTTGGTTTTGGTTTTGTGCTGAGAGCCGGCTCCATGAGAGTATGGGCATGGAAGGACTATTTGGAACGGTATTGTTCCTTTCGCCAAAAAGTATCTTTTGAGTGCCAACTATGTTCTAGGCACAAAGTGCCATAGAGCTTATGTCCAGACAGGGAAAACACAGATATATCCTAAGAAAGCAAATGAATAAAGTAAGATCATGCAATCGGGAACAAGATTAGTCCTTTGGAGGGGAATGTACCCTGGTGGTTGAGAAAGTAGGCCAGACATGATCTTTGATGCTTCCTGGCTGTGTGACCCTGGGCAAATTACTTAACCTTTCCTTTCCTCACATTTGAGGATGAAAATGTATCTTTTTTTTGAGGATTTAAAGAGAATTCACATGAAGCACTTTGCACTATGCTTGAAACCTAGTAAGGGCTCAGCCATTAACAAGGGTTAGTGTCTTCAACATCTCCATTCCAGATAGCTCTCCCCATTCTAGGGAGGGAGTAGCTTGTGGAAGGCACTGTGAGGACTCTCTTGGCAACCACTCTCTCCTTCAGAGAGTCCCTGGGTGGTGCAATGGTTAACATGATCGAATGCTAACTGAAAGGTTGGAGTTTGGAGTCCACCCAGTGGTACCTCAGAAGAAAGGCCTGACAATCTCCTTCTGAAACATCAACCACTGAAATCCCTACGAAGCACAGTTCTACTCTGACACACTTGGGGTCACCATGAGTCGGAGTCAGCTCAGTGGCTAGTGGTTAACTAGCATACCCCTTCAGAGAAAAGGGATGAGCCCTCCAGCACTAGAGGAACCACTTTAAACACTCTGTGTCTAAGGAAGGACAAGACACACATATCAAGTAAACACACTCTGAAATCTTTATTCCTGACCTCGCACCATACTCCAGGCCCTCAGCTTATTTCCTTCCTCAAGGTCCAAAGTGTTGCATTGATTTTAATTACAGACAGAAATCCACATTGATTAAAAACTGAGAACTCGAGGCTGGAGGTGCAGGGAACCTGTTGTTCAAGCCTAACTAAGCTCCTTTGGACCTGAGCTTGGCTATGCTTAGGACAGGGGATGTACACTCAGGGTGCAGGTAAGGGGTAGTACGGGTGAAGCTCTGCGCCAACCAGAGGGTTAAGGATCAAAACTATCCTCTTTACAGCTATCCTTGCTCCCTCACTTTCCAATAGTCCTCACACTACCCTTCACACTCACCGCTAGAAAAAAAGATGGGAAGGAAAGGGGTATCAATTATATCTCTCTCCAGCTGTTCTTGCTTTTTGGATGCCTCTGCCCAAATGTGAGGAGACCAAAGGCAGTCCCCACAGCAGGTGGAATTGAAACAGTCATGGCATACTGCCTCCCAGTGTGGACAGCTCATCACTGGAGTTGGGGATTTAGTAGCAATCTACTCAACAGCCAGAGTGCATCTCATGCCAAGCCTGTGCCCCCACTTGGACACTGAAGTTCAAAATAGATCCCATCAGCCAAGCTTCTGAGACTGCAGGGCAGAAATTACCCCGGAGCCCTTTTGCCCAGGTTCTTGGTGGGGGCCAGAGTAAGCAAATAATTTAGCCTTTGGTTTCTTCTAGAGGGCTTGTGTCTGCTTTCTGCCAAATCCTAACGTTGCTCCTCTCATTTCCTCCCACCTCTCCAAATCATATTTTGGTTTTACTCCTCGAGGGAAAGGAAAGTGTATTCTGGCCAATTTAGCTCAACGTGTTGTTGTTGTTGCTATGTGCCGTCAAGTCAGACCCTACTCATAGCGACCTCTCCTTGGGTTTCCAAGGCGGTATCACTACGGAAGTAGATGGCCTAACCTTCCTTCTGAGGAGTGGCTGGTGGGTTTGAACCACCAGCATTATGGTTAGCAGTCAAGTGCCTTACACACTGTGCTTCCAGAGCTCCTAGCTCAATAGCCAGGCCATTTCTAAGAGCAGAACAGTTGCTGTTCTCTTTCCAGAGTAAGGCCACATGAAACACTGGTGTGGCCAGCAGAGCTAGGCTGTGAAGCATCTTTTGTTGTTATTTGGGGTTCTAAAATCATTATCTGAATGTCTCGGGGACTGACTCCTTGGGATGTCAAGAGGGAGGGAGAAGGTATGTAGTGGGGTCAATGAAAACAAAGATGCTGACTTCCAGGCTGAGTTCTTGGGGAATGGGCTGGTCAAAATTTTTCCCTGAGACATCAGATGTCTTTCATAGTAGGATCAGCTGAGGTCTTGCTTGTGTCTCCAGAGAAGATATGGAAAAGGCAACAAGAAACATTATGTTAGTTTCTCTGTAAGCTCTGGAAAAGGAAGCAAGCCATCACCTCTCTGAGCATCTGGGAGCCAGCTGCACCTCATCCTTGGGTTCCTTAGGAATCCTAAGAACAAGATTCAATCTCAGCATGAGAATTATTAAGGATTTCCTGACAACCAACCTCTCAGGGAAGTTCTCAGACTCTGCTACATTCAACCGGTCAATTTCTGTCCTCTTCCCAACAACATATGCAGCCAGGCATGGCACCAAGGGGAAAGTGGGAAGAAAGGTCCAGGGGACCTGCTGGCACCAATGTAAACTAGTGTTATTTGGTCACTGAGGCTATGTTTCCAGAAAGTTCTGCCAGCACCCCTCATTTAGTAGGGGTTTTTCTCCTGGAAACAGTGATGAGGTATAAATGCAAGTCTCAAGGGAAGATAGTCCATTGGTAACAAGCAATGCAGTTGTGCTGAAAATAACCAGGTGGTTCTGAAATTGAGAAGTCAGACTGGACCATAGGGCTTGACCTCTCCCTCATGTGTTCCAAGTGTTAAGAATGGATTATAAATACTTTGGGCTTCTCTTCTGGAGATGGGGTGCTAGAGAGTTCCATATTGTTCACAAGAACATTCTTATCTTCCAGTCTAATGACGGTGGGCTCTGGGGTGGCAGCTGGTGTTGGGGCCGGGTTTTTATGCATGTGGGGCAAGCTGGCCGAGCTGATATCCAGATCCTTGAAAGCATGAAGCATGAACACACCCAGGATGATGGTGACAAAGCCAGAGAGGGTGCCCACAATGTCCACGGCAGACATGCTGTGCCATTCCTTGAAGAGGATGATGGAAGAGGTAACCACCACTGTGGTGAAGAACACATAATAGATGGGGAACACCAGGGAGGTATTGAAAATGTCCAGTGCCCTGTTGAGGAAGTTGACCTGAGTGCTGAGCGAAAGTGCCAGGATGAGGGATAGGATGTAGGGGAGGGGATGTCGCACGACCGGCAACCCCTGGAAGAAGTTCTTAATGGTGATGCCCAGACCCTTGACGGCAGACACAGAGAAGGCCCCAATCACAGAGCAGATGATGATGTAAACCAGGATATTCCTCTGCCCATAACGTGGGGCAATGACAAAGATGAGGATGAGGCAGAACACCAGCATAAGCACAGCAAACACGATGAACCCTTTATGAGGGGAAGGAGAGAGAGAATCTGAGCTTTTAATGATGTGCTTCACATTACAGTCGGTCCCATATCCATGACAATAGGATGTAGCATTAAGTGCTTGGATTCCAGAGTCAAACATGGGTTACTTTTCTACCTTTACAACTTTTAGATAAATTGGGCAAATTTCCTCATCTGAAAAATAGGACATTCCTCATAGGGTTATTCTGTGAGATTGAATGAGATGATACATTTAACATTACCTGGCAAATAATAAACAATAAATGGCATCTGCATGTATCAGGCCAGGAAGTCTTTAAGCCTTGCTAACAAGTACCAGCCCACCAAGTAAGTTTCTTTAGCTTGCTGTCTCCCCAAACTGGCAACACCTGAGCTAGACAGAACCCAATCAGACCATCCAAATGTTCCACCTCCCAGTGCTTCCCTGCTCATGGGTGCTGGGAGCCCACCTGTGTCCTTCATCTTGGAAGCCATCTCAGTGACCGTGGTAACCTTCTCTTCCTCGGGGGCATGTATCACCATCACTGTGCTGCCAGTCACACAGATCACACAGCCAAGCTTTCCCAGTAGATTCAGAGTCTCTCCCAGGAAATATGAGGAGAGGATGGCACTGCACATGGAAATAGGAGAAAGTGATTAAACCAGTCATGCCTGTTGCAGGGTCCTAAAGGAAACAGAGGCTAGGCAAGCACTCACAGGGAATAACCAATCAGGACTCATCACTCTCTCACATGGAAGCTTTTCCCTCAAACACATTTGAAATAGAATGCCAGTTTGGGAAGGTGTGGTGGTTAAAGTTGTATGCCAACTTGGCTAGGCCTGGTTGAGTGGCTGGGCAGCTGGATGTAGTATTCCTCATGATGAGACTGGTAATCAGTCCATGGTGGAATCTACTGTGAGCAGCTGAGTAACTGGCTTTGGGTATGTGGTCCACTTCCCATATATAAGTAGCAGCTTTGGGAACAATCTCTAGCTTATGGCATGCTTGGACCCTGCATGTAGCCGTGTCATTGTTCAGCAGCCTGCCATACTCTGCCAACCTTGGGACTTACAATGGGCTTAAATTAATGCCCGCCATGTGGTTTGGTAACATCGGGACTGTGCCTTTTATTTGTCAACCTTGGGCTTGGCAGCCTTAGCAGCCAGCAGCTGTCTGAGTGAAGAAATGCCTCTAGATCTAGTGGGCCAGGAACAGGAGGCAGAGCTGGACCCCAAAGTTGAAGGGCTTTCACTCAGCTCCTAGAGCCTGGCACTTTGAACTTGGACTTAAAGCCTCCAAACTGTAAGAGAATAAACTCCTGTTTGTTAAGGCCATCCCATTTGTGGGAATTATTCTTGTCAGAGTGGCACTAGGTAATCACAACAGAAGGGTTATAATGTGTGTGCTGGAGGAGCTGAAATGAATGTGGGTTTCTTCCATATTGCAGACTGGAAGTATCCTAACACATAAGAATTGGAGACCCCTCCAAAGCACTTGTCTAACTTCTACTCATGTCTACCCAAGAATACATCATTTCTTAACATTGCTGACAGATGGCTTTCAGCCTTGGCTTATACACTTCTAATAGGAAACCCACCTCTTCACAGAGCAATGGAATGCACTGCAGTTTCACTGTAATCAACCAACAATATACCAAGCATCAGTTGCTTTTGAGGTGACATCAACTCATGGTGAACCTTCATGTGTGTCAGAATAAACTATACTCTAGAGTTTTCAATGGCTGATTTTTCAGAAATAGATCTCCAAAGTCTTGCTTTTGCTTTTTTATTTTTGCTGGGTGGGTCCAAACCTCCAACTCTTTGGTTAGTAATCAAGCATGTTATTGCACTGCCCAGGGACTCCAGGCCACTAATACACCTCCTGATAATTTCTACTCGCTGTCCCATTTCTGTTCCTTGGGTTCTACTGACCAAATCTATTCCTTCTTTCATTTGTACATGTCAACAGGAACAACTACCCCACCACAATGACATTAATTACAAGCACTATGTCTTGAGCATATATTATACAACATGTACTATGCTAGAAACTGAAGGAACTCTGGTGGTACAGTGTGGTTAAGCACTCAGCTGCTAACCAAAAGGTTGGCAGTTCAAACCTACCAGCTGCTCCATAAGAGAAAATGTGGCAGTCTGATTCCGTAAAAGATTACAGCCTTGGAAACCCTATAGGGAAGTTCTACTTTGTCTTATAGTGTTGCTATCAGTCGGAATCAACTTGATGCCAATGGGTTTTCAATGGGTCCTCAACTCACTGCTGTTGAGTCAGATCCAACTCATAGCGACTCCTCCTTGGGTTTCCAAGGCAGTATCTCTATGGAAGTATATTGCCCAGTCTTCCTTTTGAGGACTGACTGGTGAGTTTGAATCTCCAGCCTTCTGGTTAGCAGTCAAATGCCTTAGGTACTACGCCACCAGAGCTTCCTCAACAGGTCCTAGAAACTTCATTTATTATCTCACTAACATCTCATAACTCTTTAGTGAAGTTCAAAATACTATCTCCATTTTATCAAAGAAAAACAGAATTTCAACTGGTAAGTAGCAGACCCAGGATTTGAACCCAAGTTCTGTCTAATTATAAAGCCTATAGTTGTTCCTCTACACTTCATTGAAGAAAGTTCTTATGACTTCTTGAGCCTTCTCTTTGCTGGGTAAAATGCTTGCAGTTCCTTGCTGCTACTCAGCAACATGATTTTCATTTCTCTCATATCCTCCAGATGAGCCAGCAGAGGCGAGTGATGAAGGGAGGTAAATATGGCAAGTCAGGTATGATCATGGGTTCATGCTTCTGTTTCTTTACAGAGGTGACACTGTTACAGGGCAAAGATCTATAGACTGAACAGGGACCCAATTAAGTTTTAAAAGTCCTGGTTAAAGACAGCAAGAAGACGGGATTAATGTCTAAGCTCCCTTGTCTGTCTTTCTCTAAAACTACCCAAAGCATTTAACCCATAATGCCTTGTTCAAGAGAGTCTGATGGTATTAGGATAGGGATTAGGCAGTGATCATACCCAGAGTACTCCATACCTCTCCCAATTTCCCAGGAGTGGGAATTTGTAAACTAATCAGATATGCGATAATGTTATCAGAGATAATTGAGATCAATTATGCCAACTGTGCAAATGTAAGTCATGGTTCTACTTGGTGTTTGACAGGGTAGATGTTGCAAAATGGTCATCAAGACAGTAAAACAAACAGAGGATGTGGTTGGCTAGGATTTTCCATAGTTCTAAGGTTAACAACAACAAGGTTAGGCCGGAGTCCCTGGGTAGTACAAATGGTTTATATGCTTCACTGCTAATCAAAAGGTTGGACGTTCGAGTCTACCTAGAGATGACTCAGAGGAAAGGCCTGGCAATCTACTTTAGAATAATCAGCCATTGAAAACCTTCTGCAGTATGTAGTACAGTTCTAGTTTGACATACACGGGGTGGCAATGAGTCAGAACTTACAGGATGGCAACTGGTTAAAGTTAGGGCAACAATCAGAGTCTGCTTCAGTTGGGCTTTCAGGGAACCCCACAGATGAAGTGCTCTGACTTTGTAGCTCAGGAGGGCAGTGGCAAGCACAGGCATTTGCTATCATTGACTTGTAAACTATCAAATGTTTTTTGAATGCTCAAGGAGTATCATAGCATAGTGTGGCTAAGAACACAAACTCTGGAATCAGACTGCTTGTGTCAGAATCCTGACTTAAACACTTTGAACCTGGGTGACCTTGGTTGGCCAAGTTACTCTCTCAGCCTCAGGTCCTACCTACTTTCTAATTCATAGGGTTGTTGTGAGGATTAAATGAATTAATACATGGAACACATTTGGCACATAAACAAGCCCTCAGTATACATTAGCTGTGGTTATTTTTTATAGCAGTGCGGTACTCTGTCTGCTCTGTGCATTGCTTCATTTAGTGCTTGAAACAACACTCCCTGGTAGCATACATTAGCTTTCTCATTATGAAGACGGGGAAAGTGAGGCATGTTGTTATTGTTAGATGCCTTTGAGTGAGCTCTGACTCATAATGACTCTATGTACAACAGAATGAACAATGCCTTGTCCTGCATCTTCCTCTCAAGTTTTACCATGCTTAAGCCTATCATTGCAGCCACTGTGTCAGTCAGTTTAGGGTCTTCTACTTTTTCACTGACTCTCTACTTTACCAAGCATGATGTTCTTCTCCAGGGACTGGTCCCTTCTGACAACACAACCAAAGTACTTGAGACAAACTCTGGGCATTTTTGCTTCTAAGGATTTGTTCATTCTTCTGGCAGTCCATGGTATTTTCAGTTTTCTTTGCCAACACCACAATTCAAAGGCATTGATACTCTTCTTCTGTTTTCCTTATTCATTGTCCAGCTTTCATAAGCATATGAGGCAATTGAAAATACCATGGCTTCCATTAGGCTCACCTTAGTCTTCAAAGTGACATCTTTGCTTCTTAATATTTTAAAGAGGTCTTTTGCAGCAGATTTGCCTAGTGTAATATGACGTCTGATTTCTGAACTGCTGCTTCCACGGTGTTGATTGTGCATCCAAGTAAAATGAAACAACTTACAACTTCAACATTTTCTCCATTTATCATGATGTTGCTTATTGGTTCAGTTGTGAGGATTTTTGTTTTCTTTATGTTAAGGTGTAATTCATACTGAAGACTACAGTCTTTGACCTTTATCAGTAAGTGCTTCAGACCATCTTCACTTTCAGCAAGCAAGGTTGTGTTGTCTGCATATTGCAGGTCATAAATTGTTCTTCCTCCAAATCTGATGCCAAGTTCTTCTTCACATAATCCAATTTCTTGGATTATTTGCTCAGCATACAGATTGAATGTGTGGTGAAAAGATACAACCTTGATGCACACCATTCCTGATTTTAAACCATGCAATATCCTCTTGTTCTGTTTGAACAACAGCCTCTTGGTCTATGTACAGGTTCCTCATGAGTACAATTAAGTGTTCTGGAATTCTCATTCTTCCCAATGTTATCTATAATTTGCTATGATTCACATATTTGAATGCCTTTGCATACTCAATAAAGACAGGTAACCATCTTTCTGGTATTCATTACTTTCAGCTAAGATCCATCTGAGATCAGCAGTGATATCCCTTGTTCTATATCCTCTTCTGAATCTGGCTTGAATTTCTGAAAGTGCCCTGTCAATTATTGGTGCAACCATTACAGAATTATCTTCAGCAAAATTTTACTTGCTTGTGATATTATTGACATTGTTTGATAATTTCCACATTCTGTTGGATCACTTTTCTTTGTAATGGGCAGAAATATCAATCTCTTCCAGTCAGTTGGCCTGGTAACTGTCCTGCAAATTTCTTGGCATAGACAAGTAAGTTCCTCTAGTGCTGCATTTATTTAAGGAAACATCTCAACGGGTAGTCAGTCAATTCACAGAGGCTTGCTTTTTTGCCAGTTCCTTCAGTGCAGCGTGGACTTCTTTCAGTATCATTGGTTCTTGATCATATGCTACGTCTTGAAATAGCTGAATATCAATCAATTCTTTTTGGTACAATGACTGTATTCCTTCCATCTTGTTTTGATGCTTCCTGCATCATTCAACAGGAGCTTTATTTTGCCCATGTTGTTGTTGTTGTTGCATGCCGTC